GGACTGGGTGACCCACAGAGGTCCCTTCCAACCCCTACTATTCTGTGATTCTGTGATTCTGAGAAAGAGCCATGGCTGCAAGCGTTTATTGTCGGTTGTTACTCCAGGAACCTCCAGCCGACCGGTGATGGTAAAAGGCACCATGGTAAATAATACACCCTTTAAACAGACTCACAATAAGTAAATAAAATACAAAATAAACAAACCAGAACGAGACACGGGTTTAAATAATAACAAAATCATGCAATTAGGTTTCTCACTGCTTTTAACTGCATTAATTTAGCGCTGAGCTCTTCTGACAATTGAGTAATTTTTTCTGAAAGCTGGGCAGGGATTTCAGAGTCTGACTTTCGCTGCGTCTCCTGGCGTACTCCACACAACCCCCCAGGGGGTCCTGGTTTGGGCTGTATTTTTGGTTCAGTTGTTCTTTGACAACCTCAGCAACACTAACAAGCCTCTCCTGAACGGCGATTTTCATACCCACACTGATCCACCACAGAGATCCATCATAAAGAAAGCACGAACAGCTCAAGCTCTCCAGAAGCTTTTTTCCAGCCTGTGCTACAAGAAACAACACTTCTGCGGACTGTGGGCCTCACCCTGCTCCCGACATCCAAGTTTTGCCATGGACCCATCTTTCAAGGGACTTTAATGTGGCCAGATGTGATGTTTCTATTGGAATACAGACCTTAGAGCTCAGAATTTTCTAACTGCCCACACGCTAAACCTAACAGCAAGCACAATTGTGGAACCGAAGCGGTAAATTACAAAGCTACAGTGGTCGAAAGCACGCGGGAGCCAAAAAGGAACATTCAGAAGCCCGGGAGAGGTTGGCACTCTGCGTGTGTTTGGGCAGGGAGGCGAATCCGTGGGGCTTGGCACCGGGCTGAGACACGCTGGTGGCTGGGCCACCCTCCAGACAAGGCTGCTGGGTCCTGGATTTCAGCTCTGCCCTGCCTCAGCACAGTATTACCTGCTCTTCTCTTGAGAAGCGACGCAAAAAAATTCTCACTTGTACGCCAGTACAGTAAGTATCAGATCATCTGGGTGCTAACATGGAAAAAGACAAAACTTCAAGGAATTCAGAGGTATGCAGCCAGTGGGAGGAAGCCACCCGCAACGAACAAAAGCCTAATCAGTCCTAAAAATCTAAGAACTGAAGATTAACCCACACGTGGAGTTATTCTGGAATAGATGACAAACTACAACCTGTAGTAATCCGAGCTCTCGTTTAAGGAGAAGCAAGCCCTATGCCATTTATTACTGAATGTCACCAACCATCTACCAGCACATCATCTAATAGATCTCCTCTCCCAACACGTAAACCCTCTGCTTCACCCCGTCTCGAAATATCTCGTAGCATGCTCCTACAACACCAAAAATGGGTCTTGAAAAAGCTCTGTTCTGCATGCACAAATGATCCAAAGGCATCGAGCACTGAGGACGCACGTGGTCGTACAAAACAGTGGGGTCAACAGCTCCTGCTCGAGGACAGCAGCTCCTGAAAGCACACGTGCACAGCACCTCTGGCAAACTCTCAATCGTACACGATTAAAAAACACTGGGTCTAAACTTTCCGGATGATTTACAGTAGGGCGGGCTAAAACTCAACAACTTCAAGCAACAATTGCCACCTCTTATCTTCAAAGTAAAAATGAAAGAGGAAAGAAAAAAAATTAGAGAGCTATAATAAACCGTTAACTTCAGAACGCACGTAGGGTCTTTCTGGGGTATGAACTTCTCCGGAATGTTTTTCCCTTATCTCTTGGGAAATGGCACTGCAGAGGACTTCAGATGGAACTGCCAAGTTTCAGAGGCTATTTTGTCCAAACAGGCCAGTTGGACTGGAGCATGCACGGAAAAAAAAGGGGCTCGCAGCCTCACCGCAGAGCACGGCTCCGCAGGGAGCTGGGAACTGCGCCTCAAACGCAATCCGCCGGCAGATTGTCATTACCCGGCCACCTCCGATGATTTAGGGGCTCCCTGCACCGCCTAACCATCCATCAATTACCCTGATGGAACGGCCTTAAAACACCAGTTTTAAAAATGTAACTACCCCTGACCCAAATTTCCTGCTGGTTATGTTGGCCTCAGGTTAGCCCCATTTGTCTATCATCAAGGGAGCCAATAAAAATAATAAAACCGGGTCAACGCGGAGCTTTCCAAGGGCTGCAGAAAACCATTAACGCTGCTCAACGCGGAGCCAGCTAAGGCCCAAGCTCTAACGCCTTCTGCTCGGCTGCATTGTTTGGACGTTTTCAAGCTATGCTCAGATATTCTTTGGAACCCAGGGAGAGTCTGTGATGGGTTTTTGTTGTTTTCCATCTCTCCCCTCCACCCTCCGTAGTTATTTATTTTTATAACTTAAGCTGTTTAATAATTTACTGTCCCTCGGGGTAAATGAACTGACGTCAATTTGCTGATTTTTGCAAAAGGCCCGAGGTTTGGCAGATGTGAGGATAACGAAGAAAGCACAGAAATAATTTTTTCAGCTTTTAAACACTGAACGCGGTACCACGCTTCAAACAGCGACATTTAAAATGTGACTTCAAGGATCTACAGGAATGAAGAGGAAGTGTAAAAATCCAAGGAAAACATGTTTTGCATTTCTGTGAAAGGCATTATTTTCGGTATCAAATAAACCTGTGAGATGCTAAAGCCATCTGTATCACTAGACATCTTTTACACAACAGCAAACAGAGTGCGCTGGGGAGGAGAAGAGGAGGGTCAGAGTTTACTTGAATTAACACGTGTCCCTGACAAAACTGAGAAGGGAACCAAGCACTCTAATCTTGCGCTTCCAGCCCACTGTCCTCAACACATCATTAAAAATATTAAAGCAAAAATCAACTTCAAGCAAGTGGAATTTGTTTTCTTTTAAAATCCAGGAGGAAGGAGGAGATAAATCTCAAGAGACTACTTCACT